TCTAGTGCTTTAATTACTTTTCTAGAACCCTGTGGAGTGGAAAATTGTGGAAAATAGTTTGTTTTTGTAGTCTTAACATTAATGTGTCTTAAAGTCAACATGAATCAGAAAACATAACACATTTTCCTTCTATACTGTGTTGTATTTCTGAGTAAAACCCAGTATCAGGGAGGGCTCTGATGTAGCTAAGCATCTTCTCTGGATGATAGGTGGGGGTGGTGGATGGAGGTAAAACATATTATTGGTCAGTGTTATCATTAACCAATAACAGCTGATTCACAGTGATGCGTATATTGATTATGAGTGCAGGAAAACAACAATTTTGTCTTTTAAATGAAATGATATGACAAATAGTGAATCGCATAAACAGGAATGTGGACATGAACTAACAACCAGACTGACTTTTACAGCTGCAGTTATGGGGCTAACTGAGAAATCTTGGTTTGTGAAATATGTGGTTTGTGAGGGTTTTCTGCAGTCAGTAACTGAGCTAGTTTCTGTTCTGTTTTGCTCTCTTCTTGATCATATGAGTGTCAGTTTGGTGGTGTGTGTTTGGGGAGGGGCATGGTGGTGGTGGGGGTGTAAGCAAGAATCACCCCCAGGCCTGTTAGACCCGCATGCAAAATGTGCATCAGTACAGTTGCAAGATTGTAAGTTAGATTAAAAAACTCTCTCTCTCTCTCTCTCTCTCTCTCTCTCTCTGTCTCTCTGTCTCTCTCTCTCTCTCTGTCTCTGTCTCTCTCTATCTCTCTCTCGGTCTCTCTCTCTCTCTCTGTGTGTCTCTCTTGCTCTGTCTCTCTGTCTCTCTCTCTTTCTCTCTCTCTGTCGCTCTCTCTCTCACTCAGTGTAAAGACCTACTTTATCTGCTACTTCATCATATGAGTAATGCATGCTGAGTGATTATTCTTGCTAAGCCATCACACCAAATTCATTCCTCCATTTCTGGTGTACCTCTGTGTGTGCTTGTCTTAAAGAAAGTGCCTTTTTTCATAGGCTCACTGTGCTATCAGTACTAAAGTTATATCCTTTTTTGTCTGCAGCACCTTTTTTTTGAGGTGATCCATATCTCTGTGTTTTATCCAGTCCTGTCAGTTTTATTGGGTTGAGTCAGGCTCACTGAGTCATCGCTCTCTGGTGTTGGACGTGGTTGAGGCAGACACTCATCCATTCTGTTGCATCTGTATTGGGTTCTTATTAGCATCCTTGATCTGGAGTAACAAAGCAGTCTGGTGCTTTTGGCTGAAAATTAAGGGTATAAAAAGGTAGTGATGTGTGTAAGTGTGTCATCCTCGAGGTGCCAATCCAACTGCATTGGTTTTTAGATGGTAGAATCATGTATAATATATATATATTTTTTTTTGGCTGAAATAAAATTCTCAGGCAATTTTCAAACACACACACACACATATATTTATATCAAACCAAAAAAAAAGGGCTTGGTATCTTGTTGTTTTTAGTGATCTATGATCATCAATGAGGCAGGTTATTTAAATGGACAACTACTTTTTTTATATAAGAGTTTAACATACCTGTTTGGCCCAAAATACTGAAAATATGCTACTGTTTCATATGTTCATTTAGTCTACATAGTGTGAGCTTTGAATAAAAAAAAAAAAACTAATAAAGATCTGCCTTCTGCCAAATTTGACTATAAAGATATTGAAATCGGCCAGAAAAATTCATGATTGGTGCATCCCTAATTGTTTTTTGTAAAATCAAGGCCTGTTTCAGTTTGAATTTCAGGTCTATACTTCTTCTCTTGACTTGGTTTTGTCAATAATGCTAGTGATACTGACAGTAGGTGGAAATGAATAGTCACCATTTAGCATTATTTAAAAGATACCTTTATGCTCTTTGGCTTCCATTCATTATTACCAACACTAGCATGTATAGCTAAACTATTCCTTTAAATTCTCACATATAGCAGCTGAAGTGCCATGCCAGTCACCTCATTTGCTCAAGGGCATGGAGGCAGTTGTCATCAGGTACAATTTGAACACATTGACCTCTGGTGTCACGGTCAAGTTCCCTGAGACTGTTTTGTTTTGTAACCAGTCCTAAATCACAAATAATCCAGCATAGTAAATGATTCTTTACTGTAAAATTCCTCACAGCATAACTTGATGACATAATAGCAGAGAGAGAGAGAGATTGCGTTTATAAAACGAGGTGTAGCATCTGAAAGATTTTAAACTGTATTAAAGATAAACTAGGACGCCTTCCTACAGACTGAGTTGGTTTCTAAGGACTGTGAGTCGGACTATGAGGGTGTTTCATGGCTTAAATATTTAGTTTAGTCAAAGTCTAACTTGATCCGGGTCTGGAAAGTGCGGATAAATAATTGTGTTTGTCAGTCTGTGTTTCCCATTGTTAGAGAGACCAGTAGGAGATTTTAAAATATATATTATCATCATGCAGATAACCAATTTATCACTGGCAGTTCATTGATTTTCATCATTGGTTTATTAAATCGAGTAAATTTTAATTGTGGAATTGAAGCAGCCCGGTGTGTAATGACATAACACATACATACTGCCTGAAGCAATGTGTATGTGTGCTGTTTTCATTACTGTGCATTTAAGATTGGTGTATGCAGAAGAGCTCTTTTCTGTATTGAGCTTCATTCAAAAAGCAGTCCAGGCTGTTATAAATGGGGAGAGCTAAACTACTGTAGGTGAAATAGGTGTGTGTGTGTGTGTGTGTGTGTGTGTGTGTGTGTGTGTGTGTGTGTGTGTATGTAAATGTGTTGCTTTTTGTGACGTCACAAAATCAAATGAATTCCAGACAATCATCTTAATGATTTTTTGCAGCATAGTTTCCAAATATGGACTTGGGAGTGAGAGAAACTGGTCAGAGAGTTTCGGGTTTTAGATTTTGTAATCGCCAGTAGGAAGAACACAGATTGACCAATCAGTCACATCAGCAGTTCAAGAAACTACCAGTAATTACCAAACCCAAGACAGGAAACTAGATTGAGGGTCTGGAGTTAAAAACCTCTGAAGAAATAGTGCAATAAAACATGCTAACATGGCTAGCAACAGATGGAAGCTAGCAGCCTAGCTATTTGCATCATGCTAACTGGTGGCTATTCGCTTTCATTCATTATTAGTAACATTAGCCTTTTTAATTGTACAATTCCTTGAAGGAAGACAGTTTTTTTTTATTTCATTCTTTCTCACCGTCGCAAACAGAACAAATGCATTTGCACACATTTGGCCGATCAAAATGGCTGCTCTGTTTGGTCTGGCAGCAGAGCGGTGATGTTCAGCGTAGGCCTCAGGCCACTTCTGCTCTTTCTGGGTGTCATTTTGTGTATGTGTGTGGGGTTGAGAAGACAGCAGGGCGACGCTCTCAGAGTCTGTCTGAAAGAAGCAGCCTGCCTTGACTGAAACGCAGTGCACTCTTAGCTAATCTGTGCCAGACTCTTTTATTGATTGCCTCTTTGCCTTTTCTAGACGAGACAGGACCACTGCAAATTGCTGATAATCTTCAGTAACGAGCCTGGGGATGCTGCTTCATACCTGTTTTAATAGTGGATGTGATTTTTAGTTTGTTTGATTTCACATAAATGAAGCTGTTAGAAGCATATGTGAGAGAAAGAGTGAGGGAGAGATGGAAAGATGAGGAATTACTCAGGTATACAGATGACAGGTTTCCCAATACCAACCTTGAGTACTACGAAGCTTCAAAATGAGATGTTTTTGGACAGCTGATTGTTTTTTTTGTTTTTTTTTTTTCTTTCCGTTTTAATCTTTATTTAATATTGTTTTTATTAGTCACACTGGATAGACCCCTATAGATGATCTACAGATACCTATACTAATAACAAACATTCTGGTGATACTTATCAACAACACATTAAGGTTAGAGTTAGGTTTAGGAGCAGGTGTAGGTTTTGCCTTGAGGTTAGGGTTAGGGGTAGATTTAATGGAACCTTTCACATACAACCTCAAGTTCAGTTGCATTTAATGGATGGACTGAGCGTCTACAAAACTTATGCAGTCAACCATCCAAATTAAGTCTTACCTTTTTAATTAATTTATCTATAATGATGGCAAATAATGTCACTGCATGGTAATTTAACTCTAAATGTTAGGAATGTCTGTTTTTTTTGGACTCTTTGGGTTGATCAAGGGCCAGGTTAGGTCAGTTTCGGACAGAAATATTTTAAGCCCAGGTCAGTTTCAGACTCAACTTGATGTGGTTCTGGGTCGTTATGAATTTGGACAGAATGTTGTTGAGCTCAGTTCAGGTGCGAATCCAGAGAAGATGCTGAGTGTCTGGGAAAATTCTTGGTTCATATTCGAGTTTGGACAAAAATTTCAGGCCCCCTTAAACCCTAAATGCAGCTGCATGGCGCAGGAGGACTCCATCTTGGCTGCTATGCCTGTCCTGGAGAGCAGTGAGGTACTACAAAGCTGATTAGCTGATCACAGCAGGCGCAGCAGTTAGATCTTCTACAGCTGCAGCTGCTCCTGCTTCTGCTCTCCTCTCTCTGCTCCACAAACAAACTCTTTTACCTTACCGAGTACCACAGTAGGGGGAATGAGATGGGGCTCTGAAGAGATTTAAATATTGATTAACTCTTAAGCATTTTAGCATTTTTAGTTGATTTTAACACTGTTTTAATCCAGTCGTTTGATGTGACTAACAAATAATAAAAGCTTATACCACACCAGAGTATTATGCACACTGTATTCTTAAATTGTCACACTATAATATCTGTGGGTTTGATTTTATAAATTTAAAGTCTTTTCCGTTAGGCACAGTGTTTCTCAGAGGACATACAGTTTGTCTTCCTGTCCTCCCCTTTCTCTTGTCATTTGCTCCAGTTTTTTTCTTTGTCTTCACCCGTCCCTTCATCCATTTATTATCTCATCCCTCATCTTTATGGGAGTTTAATCTTCCTTCTTGCTCCATAAACTCTTCCCTCTAAATCCTCCCCTTTGGTCCTCTGCTCTTTTCCTCCCCTACTCATATCTCTCCTTCTCTTTTTGCAGGCTCTAACTACGCCATGTCTAATGGTGGGGGTGGAGCCGGAGGGGTGAGTAGCTCCACCCACTTGCTGGACCTGTTGGAGGAGCCCATCCCAGGCGTAGGAACCTATGACGACTTCCACACTATTGACTGGGTCAGAGAGAAGTGTAAAGACCGTGAACGTCATCGCAAGGTAATGACTAGCCCAGCTAAACTGACCACTAGGGTTGTGCATGGGTACTCGAGTACTGGGTTAACGGTTCAAGGTGACAGTACTTGAATAGTGAAATAGCTATTTAGATATTAATCTTTTGTGTATACAGACAAAAATATAAGCAAACAATTCATTGAAATGCTGATTTTATGTTTTTATCACGACAGTAGAACTGTCACTCATATTTGTAAGTATGTATAGTACGCTTAACATACTTTGTATGTATGTACTAAGTGTGCTATTATTAATGGGAAAATATACTATTAATAATATGAGCACTTTGTCAAGAATGCGCTGTTAAGGACGTGATGGCTCTGGCACAGGTTTATCACTAAGCTAATGATGACTCTCACTGATTTTAGCTAGGTCCAAAAACAGTGAAAGTACATTTCACTGACAGACTAACATGTTGGCAGATTGTCCACCTGTAAGAGTCCTCATTAGCATCCAACACTGTCCAGTTAGCTCTCTTAGCTCATTATCTCCTCTAAAGACAGAGGCCTCTGATACTTGTCCAACACAAAAACCTACTGATTTCTCTGGGCTATTTTTTCCTCTGTGTGCTGCTAATTTTTTGTGGTACACCAGTGGTGTTACATAAACAGGTAAGCCTACGGCCCTTCAAGGTCAGCCGAAATCCTTTTTTTCCATTGTTTTTCCTTCCCTCTGGTTAACAGATTATCCGTTCCTTAACGCTTATATATACTCAGATATCAAAATTAGTCAAAGTGCACCATCCAAACAAACACCAATACAGACACATACTGTATTACTGCTGAAAAACTGTTACAGGTTTGGGGCGATTGATCAGTACAGTAGCTGTCCAAATGAATTCTATGTAAAGTCTAGAGATGAGAGTATTGTGTAAATGTCTCATCATTATGTTAATGACCAAAATTATAAAGTTTTTTCTATTGTTGCAGTATAATGAAATAAAGTTTAAAAACATACTACTACACACCAAAATCACTAATTGAGTATTTGTTATGCATCATAGAAGAAAATACTAAATGAAACTATGGATGTTGCTATGGATGTAATGAAGATGTCTGAGGTTGTGCAGCTGTAGCTATGCTACCTACTAACAATGTAACAGTACAACATATCATTTTAATACATTTTTTCAGTAAGAAGACATGTTTTCAGATGTACACCTCTGTGAGCCATCCAGCACCAGTGCACCAGTTGACTGTGTTTGACTGTGTTAAATTTTGAGTTGTTAGGTGAATAAACTGAACTATATTATTTTAAAATAATTGGCCCCAATCTTTCACAGACCATATATAACACACACTTTCTCTGGATTCTTCTGCATCACCATCTATTCATTCATCTGAAAGTTTCAGTTCATTAAGGCAGACATATTTAAACTTCCAGACTCATTTGACTGTAAGATTTGAATGGCAGTTGTCTTTCCCCTCTCCAAGGAAATCCTGCTTATCAGGAGATGTAGAGTTTAGCCTTTACTCCAGCTGATATGTGGAGCACTGTGGCTTAACTGACGGTTAGAGAGTAGAGGAATCACCTGCAGAAAATTCATAGAAGGGAAATGTCATGAGCAGTTTATTTTTGGGACATGCCTGGGCCATAGAATGAATCTGCGACATGCACTCACATAAAATACTGCTAAACACTGAAAAAAAAAAATGTTAATTTCAATAATGACACTGAGTATTAAGTGTTAAAATTGTAAAATTGTAAAATTAAGTGTAAAATTAGTTTAAGAACGTGTGCAGTAGATTGAAGTGTTATTAACTAGACACCAGAAGATATTTTCAAATGTCATATTCAGTATTTTAAGGTAATAACAGAAACTTGTTTACACTAAGGCGTAAAGCATTAGCACCACTAATGTTTTTAATGCATTTTCCAAGATCGACCCTTTCAGCTATCTGTAGTGTAGGCTGAAGTCCAGCTGTTCGTGTGCCGTATGTTACTATGATAGAATCTGTGATCGTAGACCTCTCATTCAAACAGCATTTAAAAAGCTTTTAAAGTGATTTCTTCAGCATCTTCAGCACACTGTGCTGGACAATGTCTCAGGGGACACCTGTAGATAAATCAACAAGCAGCAAAGCAAAAGCAAAATGGTAGCAGTACAGTTCCCCCCTCAAGAGCCTCCACTGTAACAAGAATCCACCAGCTGTATGAATGAGAGTGAGAGGTGACGATCTAGGAGAAGTTGAATCATGGACTGTATTAGGGCTGCATGGTAAATTGTATTTTTATTGTTATCGTGAGATGAATTTCCGCAATAAACACTATCGCTAAGAGCTGTGATGGCAGAACAGATCAAATTACCTCATATGCCAAAGGGACGTCATTACATTGCTGGCACAAACAGTTGGAAGCCTAATAAGTGCTTCTCTGTGCTGAGATTGAACCCTGCCGTACCACATGGGGAACAAGTGACCATCCAGCTAAACGACCAGCTATAAAACACTCAAAAACCCTTCCATTCTGGGCTGTAGGCCTGTAAAAACACATATCCAGTAATGACTACTATCACAACTAAACAAATAGGTTAATAAATAAACAAAAATATTCCTTCTTGTGTGCCTAAATAAAATACATATATATTTATTTGTTTTTGTAAACTTTATGGAAAACGCTGTTAAGATAAAGCTGACTGTTTCTCAGCCTTTCAGAGCACATAAAATGTGTTTGCACTTCTGATGCAAATAGCTGTTAGTACCTCTTTGTATCTTTCACAGGTAGGGAAATGTGCTATTGCTTTTTGTTTGAAGGAGAGGTTAATTAGATTTCTGATTATGCATCCAAAAAAAGTCTGTACGTGAGTCACATCAAGTCAGAGACGCACTATTTTAATAATTTATCATTTCTCATATAGTCATCATTATATCTGATAGCTATGTATCGAACATTGCGTTATATACCAATATCATACAGCCCTAAACTGCATGCATGACTTGCATGATATATACACTCATTGGCTGGAAAATCCGGGCACTGTTTATCTTGCTGGACGACGGTGATGAAAATTGGAAACTGGATTCAGACTATTGAACTCGTGATTTTCGTGTTCAAGTTCATGTGAACTCTGCATTCACATGATAAAAATAATTATATTGAAAATAATGTTATTATTTGTAAATGGTAAAAGAAATCTCTTTAAATTTAGGGAAAATAAAACAAATGTGATTCATCACAGGTTAATCACAAAAAAACAATGTGATTTATTATGGTTAATTATTATTTTTTTAAAGCATGAATTATTTAGGGGGAGGTTTATTAGAGACGGCACAAATACCAAGTATCATTACTGGGGCGATATCAGCATACCAGAAATGCTGGATTGCACGTTGCATGGAAAAGAAGAATAAATCTGTTCCAATTTTGTAACAAATATATCCTGAAATATCACACACACTCACACTGTGTGATGTGATGATGTTAGCTGTCTAGTTCCTTCTGTGGGGTTGTAGAGTGTTTGAATAGTTTCAGCCTGATGGCCTACTTTTAGATGATCTTAAGTGAGGTGCCTCAACTAAAAATATCTAACTTTTTAAAGCTTAGTCGTTTTTTGAAGAAGCCTCAACAGGTTCAACAATGTTGAAGACTTCTGCATTATAAAAATGTGTTTGGGATTACTTGGATTGTGAGAAGCAGAAAATGAAACCAACTTCTAAGACTGAACTTTAGAAGAGTGAAGTCTCCTAAAAAGAATGGAAACTGTAATAAAGGCAAACAGTGGACACACTAAATACCAAAAAAAGAATTTGTTGTTTTCTGTTTTTTCTTTTCTTTATGTTTCCTGCTTGTTTTTCCTCATGATGCAAAATGAATAATTGGTACTTTCATGGCCAGTTTGACTTGAAATTAAAAAATATAGGGTGATGTCTGACTTTTGTACAGTACTATGTCTTTTATTATAAAGTGTGTGTTAATGTGTTTGTCTGTGCAGATTAACAGTAAGAAGAAGGAATCAGCATGGGAGTTCACAAAGAGCCTGTACGATGCCTGGTCTGGGTGGCTGGTGGTGACTCTGACAGGACTGGCTTCAGGTAACACACACACACACACACACACACACACACACAGAGCTAAAGCTCTCTGAGGATCAAGCTTGTGTTGGAAAACATGACGTAGACAGACATACACCAGCAGACTCCCCATACAACACCTCCAGCTGTGACTGAAATATAAACACTGATTACTGCGTCATGAAACTTTAATGGAACTGTGTTTCACACGCCTTTTAATCAAGATTCATTTGTGCGATTTATTCAGACGTTAATAAATGTATTTGAACATAGTAAAACTGAGGTGGGCAGTAGATTTTATTATTAGCATGAGCTAATTAATTGCATAACTGTGTATTCTATTAGGTAATTAGGTTGAAATAGTTATCTAACAAAAATGAAACATATAGAAAAAAAGACAATAATTACAATTAAAGTGACTCTTTAATAGATGACAGACTGAAAATTGGTTTTTGGACGATCCTCCTGATCTTTTAAGCATCTTAGTTTTAGGTGGTTTTAACATCATGGTAAATATTAGTTATTGGGCAAAATCAGAGAAGCAGAGTTGTGAATGCCAAGCCAGAGTGCAGCTCTCAGCCCAGGCTCCTCACCTTCAGCACTATGCATAATTGACTGTGGAGCTGGAAGAGGACAATGTTAGTATTAAATAATGGAGGTTTAACTGTAGCCCCGGGTTGCAGTAATGCAAGAGAATCTGTAGTAAACAGAGACTCTACTTGTTATCGTGCTCTTCTATCTGTGTTTGATTTGGTAATGTGTGCCCGAGGAACTGTGAAAACACATCCAAACACACACATGCTATATATACACTGACCGACCACTTCACTAAGTTCACCCCCTTGTTTTTACACCCTTTATTATTTTAGCATGATACTTACCATATAGGTACACTTCATAGTTCTACAATTACAGACTTTAGTCCATCTATTGTTCTGCATACTTTGTTAGTACCCCGTTACCCTGTTCTTCAATGGTCAGGACTCCCACAGGACCACCACAGAGCAGGTATTATACTGACATGATAGTGTAGTGCAAGTGTATGTTGTGCTGGTACGAGTGGATCAGACACAGCAGTGCTGCTGGAGTTTTTAAACACCTCAGTGTCACTGCAGGACTGAAAATAGTCCACCAACCAAAAATATCCAGCCAGAAGTGTCCTGTGGGCAGCGTCCTGTGACCACTGATGAAGGACCAACACACACTGTGCAGCAACACATGAGCTACTGTCTCTGACTTTACATCTACAAGGTGGACCAACAACGTAGATGTGTCTAATAGAGTGGACAGTGAGTGGACACAGTGTTTAGAAACTCCAGCCGCACAGCTGTGTCTGATCCACTTGTACCAGCACAACACACACTAACACACCACTGTCACTGCATTGCTGTGTGCAGTGCTGAGAATGAAGTGTGTGTGTGTGTGTGCGCCTCTCACTCTCTCTCTATCTTTCTATCTCTCTCTCAGGTGCGTTGGCGGGTCTAATAGACATTGCTGCTGATTGGATGAATGACCTGAAGGAGGGTGTGTGTCTGAGTGCCATGTGGTTTAACCACGAGCAGTGCTGCTGGGGGTCCAATGAGACCACATTTGCTGAAAGAGACAAATGCCCACAGTGGAAAACATGGGCTGAACTCATCCTGGGCCAGGCAGAGGTGAGGTTTTGCTTACTGGCATTACTTATTACTTCATGAATAATAAGCCTTTAACCTTTTTAAGTCACTAACTAAATCATATAATTCCTTCTACACTAGTTGTACTAAAACACATTCCTCCCAGTTTTCCAATGTATTGTATAATAAATCAATAAGCTGAATCATCGGAAATTTTAATTTTTATTCATAATATCTTTATTTAGTGAATTCTTGTATCTGATCTCGTTTATGTTGTCTGTTCTCTTTCAGGGTCCTGGTTCTTATATCATGAACTACTTCATGTACACGTACTGGGCTCTGGCCTTTGCCTTCCTGGCGGTGTGTTTGGTTAAAGTGTTCGCTCCATACGCCTGTGGCTCAGGGATTCCCGAGGTAGGTCTAATCTACGCTTGTTTTGTTTTTTATTGCCTACGTGTCATGACTATGTAAATAGTTCCTTCAGTCACAGTGTTCAGTCTACTTTTAAAAATAATTTGTATAAAATAATCTAATCAAAATGAATCAAAGTGGTGCATTAAATCTTTTCATAAAAAATAGTAACTGAGTTGGGTTGTTAAGGTCAGACACTCATGATGCATTCATCTCATTATAATTGTATACGATGAAAAAGTACAAAATTTCCCCTCTCAATATATATATATATATATATGCAGAGTGAATTGATCAGTGCAAGGGCTTAGTGTGATTGTGAAATTAATAGTTTTTTCATTATTTTTGTATGATTCAGAATTATTTGAAAAAATAGACTGAATGTACAAATGTGATTGGGAGAGCTACTGGAATGTAGACAAAAAAAGATTTTAAGATTTGAATTTTATTTTGGGCATAATTGAGCGTATACAGTACTGTGCAGAAGTCTTTAGGCCAGAGCACACTGGACGCGCAACATTGTGTTGCACAGCATTCAAAATTCAAAACCATTGTTTTTAAAGGTTTTTTTTTAAACACGTTTGAAGTTACATGCACCAGTGTTGATCTTCCGTGTTTACAGGTGCTGGCCCACAGTGACTCCAAGCATTTTGCCATTACTACATTAAATTAAAGCCCTATTTGGATCACAGAAAGCCATAGCAGATCACATGTGGCTTGACATTAACGGATAATTGCAGTCAGTCTTTTGGATAAACAGACAAATGCTAACGCTCTCTTACCCTAGCTAATGTTACTAGCCTAGTCTATTTTTTCATCTCATATTTTTAAGCGCAAAAACATTGAGTATGAAGAGGTGGTCACCTAATGCATAGCATGATAAAATAAGGTGAACATTTTTATTTCAGTAAATGTTTACGAGTATAAAAATGAACTTTAACTTCAAGTTTGTGAGTGTTATCCCCTGGACACATTCTATGTTGCAGCCCTTGTATGTTGTTCAAAACTATTTATCGTAATGATGTCTGTTTTATGCCAGTAAAACACTGTCTAACATTTATATCCAAATATAACAGAACATGCAGTAAAAAGTTTTTTTTATTTTTTTTTTTTGTTTTTTGTTTTAAATATTTGGTGTCTCATAATCTAATTTGAAGAACAAACATTTCTGCCTTTACATAGATTTGCATCATAAGCACATCCGATTAGACATAATGAAGTACTGATTAGCCAAACCATATATTGGATTATAACTACAAATAATACTGGTTATATTAAAATGGTTAAACTAACACATTGACATGCATAAATATTAAATACTTATTGTTTTAATATTATTTGCATTTTTTTAATGTTAGTCTTTATCTGAGTAAATAGACACTTACTTCCCAGATTAACATCCTATTAACGTTTTTTTTTCCCCAGGTGCCTAAAACATTTGCACAGCACTAAACTTTGTTCCATGTTACTATAATTGCTGTTGAATCGTCACCCTCACATCGATGCATACAGTACACTGATTATTTAACATTTATTTTACACACATTTTAACATCTCTTTTGATCATGGTGTTTCTTTCTGTCTCAGATAAAGACCATCCTGAGTGGTTTTATAATCCGAGGCTACCTTGGAAAGTGGACTCTGATGATAAAGACCATCACTCTGGTGCTGGCTGTGGCGTCTGGCCTCAGTCTGGGGAAGGAGGGGCCACTGGTGCACGTGGCCTGTTGCTGTGGCAACATCTTCTCATACCTCTTCCCCAAATACAGCAAGAATGAGGCCAAGAAACGAGAGGTAATGTGCGCTCGAACAACCACCTCAGACTTGCACAGAGCTATAAATACCCAGCATACATCAGAAAGGAAAAATTGGTTTCACATCTAAGAAATCAGGACTCTTTTGTGTATGATTGTGCAGGTGCTTTCTGCAGCGTCGGCTGCCGGTGTGTCAGTGGCATTCGGGGCTCCGATAGGAGGAGTTCTCTTCAGCCTGGAGGAGGTGAGAATGCTATCACTGCAAAGAGGAACAGAGGACTCTTTCTCTTTTACACAGCCTACACAAGTTCACCCCAAATGTAGACATGTAGACATGTTTGGTGTCTTAAGGTTTGCTCCTTTAGATTTGCACTGGAGCTACAAAGCTTACATGGTTTCTGATGCTGTGTAAAATAGTCTTAGCTACTGTTACAGTTTATATATCAATACATAGATCACTACATTAAACATTTTCTCCAACACTACTTTCCGACTTTTTCCCCAAAGTCAGCATATTCCCCATGTGATTTGGCTCATTCTCTTCTTCGTTGTACATAGGTCTGAGGGGCTGGAGATAATGGACATACTGCTCCAGTTTCTGATTGTTTTTAAAGTAAATTGTGTCCGCATGCCCACAGCCGGCTTTGTTTTGGCTACAGTAACTAGTTATCTTGCTCAGAAAGTGGAAACATAAGGTGTGGTGTTGTTGATTGTGGAAATATTCCATCGAGAGGACAAATCACCATTCATTTCCACTGAGAGACAGAAATTGATGCAAATTATGGCTACACTGTGTCTGAGGTGCCTAGAAATACTTAGAAGGGTTCAAATGTGAAATAAGGTGAAATCCCCCTTTAAAGACTGTCTGACATGGCTGAAAACTGAGCGGTTTTCTGTGTGCTTGGTAACGTCAGGTTCACTTATGGTGTTACCAACTACACAGAAACTAATTAATTCAGCGTTCCTTTATTGTTTCTGCTTACTTCTGAGTAAAATAACCTTTTCAAGAGCAATTCAGAAGGTATGTTTCAGTTCCCCTCAATAAAAAGAAGATAGGGCAGGTATTTTATGTTTGTGCAAAAGGAGTCATGCGTGTATTTTTAATTTTTTAAATACATTTTTGTATTTAAATTTTATTTAATATTTATTTAATATTTCTTTAATATTTTTGTGATTTTAAATATTCAGTGTTATTTATTGATTAACTAAGAGTTGCACCATTTCTTTTACTGATTAATCAATTATCCAAAATCATAATGGATTGATTATGCAAGTAATCATTAGTAGCAGTCCTAAAAAGTACATTGCATTTAAGAAAAATTACCATCGCTAAAACAGTATTAGCAGCCACCTTTTTGTGTATTCGTGTCTAATTCTATAGCCAACATTGTCATATTGTGTCAGCTAAAAATAAAGCTAAGCTGAATTTAGAATAAAATTAAAAAGTAATACATTTCTTTTAAAGCCCATGTCTTGGTGGCCCCTTTTAAGATCCACTTTTGACATTTATCTGAGTTTATGTAGCAAAAATACTCATTTATTTTATCCCTTTATCAGGCTGTTTTTGTTACTGTGCCTTTAAGACTAATACATGTAAATTACCTCTGTTGTGACTGGCTGTTCTGTATTGTCTCTCATGCAAAATGCAGTCCAGGCTGAAACACTTATAGCTTCTAAAACATGCTTATAACTTCTGCATGAGTGGGGCTGCGCTGAACTGCTGTAGGCAGAATAGATGGACATATGAGCTGGTTTTGGTGACATCATGAAAATAGTGAATTGAAAATGGGCTGTTTTTACATCAGATTTCCATAAATGGATCAGTGACAGATTTTGTCTTCTGTTCTTCATTAAATTATTTTGCTTCAAGAAAAGTAAAGAAAATGAATTTTTTCCATGATATGGGCCTTTGAATAATTATTTTCTCTCTCTCTCCTTCCGTCAGGTGAGTTATTACTTCCCCCTGAAGACACTGTGGCGGTCCTTCTTCGCCGCCCTGGTGGCAGCGTTTGTGCTGCGCTCCATTAACCCGTTCGGAAACAGTCGCTTGGTGCTGTTTTATGTGGAGTACCACACGCCCTGGTACCTGTTTGAGCTCTTCCCCTTCATCCTGCTTGGTGTGTTCGGAGGTCTTTGGGGCGCCTTCTTTATCCGAGCCAACATTGCCTGGTGCCGCAGACGTAAATCCACACGCTTTGGTAAGTATTTCACACGGGCAGCTAAGAAGACATTTTTTATTTATTTATTTATTTACTGTCAAACCGCTCCTGCATGCTGATGTTGACTGTGACATTAGAAGAGTACAGGGGAGGATCTGTATATATATATCATGTATCAGTGTAGGTTAAAGGTATAAGAATGCAAAAACAAGTTGGATTCAGTTTGTCTTTCTGTTTTAATAGAATGTATTTCTTTCTTTTATTTTGATTACACTCATTTCCCAAATGATTAACTTTTACTTAACAAAATATTGATCCGTTATATTCAGAGTCACAGTAAACTAATAGTAACAGTGCAGTGCAGCTCCAGAGCTTTTATTGCATTTATTATCTCCTGAGTGTATCTGCAGTTTGTAGGAAATAATCAGTCATATGCAATAGTTTGAACACACCTGGTCAAATGATGTTTTCTTAATTTTCTAAAGTGAAAATAAGTTAACACATCCTCTAAAGCAAGCTTGTCAAACTGGGGACCTTCTAGGCGCTGTGGAGATCAGCGCTTACCCCCTGTTCACAAAGGCCTTGCTAATTAGCTGCTGAGCTGAATCAGGTATGTTTAGTGAGGCCATGTGCTGAAGTCTGCAGTGTTTTGGCCCGCAAGGACTGGAGCCTGACACATGCTCTAAAGGGAACTGAAATGTGGCATTCAGAGCACAAATCCTATTTAAATTGGTGATTTTAACATATTGAAAAAATAAAACAGAATATAAAATGTGCCAAAACATTTGCAGAGGCCACATTTTATGTTTATTCGTTTTTTTCCCAATATGTTAATTTCAGCAAATAAACAATAAATGTGCATTAAAGTGTGTGTTCCCTGTAGAGGATGTGTTCACTTATTTTCACTTAGAAAATCAACAAAAAAAATGTCATTTAAACAAGGGTGCCAAAACTTTTGCATACACATCAAGGGAAGTCGAATTCTGCAGGGGAGTCAGATTTCGGCACATCATTGTCTAAAACAGCTGCTCACTGCGTTCAGCTACACAGAGCGGTTTTGTCATGAAGACGTAGATGCAGAAATGTGATCCCTCAATTAATTTTATCAATTATAATTATTATATTATGAATTAATGTGCTCTCTCAGGTAAATACCCGGTGCTTGAGGTGATCACGGTTGCTGCCATCACAGCCATCGTAGCGTTTCCAAATCCGTACACACGGCAGAACACCAGCGAGCTGATTAAGGAGCTGTTCACAGACTGCGGGCCGCTGGAGTCCTCTCAGCTGTGTCAGTACCGCAGTCAGATGAACGGCAGCCAGGCGTACCCCGAGGGCTCAGATGCAGCTGCCACGCCCGGCGTCTACTCCGCTATGTGGCAGCTCAGCCTGGCGCTCATCTTTAAAATCATCATGACTATCTTCACATTCGGCTTAAAGGTGGAGGAGATTTAAGTAATTAAAGTGGTTACTGACGGCATCCATGATTTTAAATATGCACTGTTCTTAGTTTTCTCATATGAATCTTCCAGTCATTACAGGGGAACTCGTTTTTCAAAATTTCAGCATAATTAAACAAAGTCATTCAGAGTGGTTTGATTTGAAATTTAAGAGAAACTTACTGACCTTGATTTCTTCTTCAATGGTGGACATAGGAACCAGGGGTCATGATGTCAACACCCCAAATATAGCCATTTTATTTACTATCCAAAACCACCAGTGAACCTCTGTGCCCTGTGCATTTCAATATATGTAATTTTGATAAAGGTAAACTTACCTAAAATGGACTGTTTGTTTTACAGCACTCTGCATGTACCTCTCCACCATGAATGGATTTTTTAAAAAATGTATTTTGGCCAAAACCTTCTCAAATCTATCGTAAAACAATGTTTCAGACATCATGTAGCACATTTATAATCCTTTCATGTACTAACTTTCGGTGATGTAGTATAATAAGAGCATGAAACACTTCTGTTATCTGGTTCCTGTCATCACCACTGTGAACAGTTCTGACTTCAATAAGTTTCTCTAGAATTGAGCATTTCACATTAATCCACTCTGAGTAACTGTGTTTACATCTGAAACAATTCATTAAGCAGGAATTTTGGTGGAATTGGTGGAATTCCGCTTTACAGAACCTTCCCTTGTAAAACTAGTCCAGCTCTTATGATGCACAAATACAAACACTTCAGTATGACCACCTTTAAGTGCTACTTGCTGTAATATTTAAAAAAAAATGCATGTCAATGATATACTTGTTACATAAATCTGTGTGTTGTTTATGCAGGTGCCCTCAGGTCTGTTTATCCCCAGCATGGCGATCGGGGCGATAGCAGGGCGAATCGTGGGCATCGCTGTGGAGCAGCTGGCCTACTACCACCATGACTGGTTCCTGTTTAAGGAGTGGTGTGAGGTGGGCGCAGACTGCATCACTCCAGGCCTCTACGCCATGGTGGGAGCGGCAGCCTGCTTGGGTGAGTGCGTCTGTGTGTCTTTGTGTGCCTCAGTTGCTTGCTTTTCACACTTAGTAGATTCATGTTTGTTTCTTTCCTTCTCACCTGGCTGAATACAAACGTGTGCATCCCGGTTTGTACAATAAAAATTTAGGGCCACCTAAGCTTTTTTATGTTTGACAGGTTTGATGAGTTGGAACAGACAAAAAAGCCCCAGTAGTGCTACATTTTGAAAATAAAAAAAAAAGAAGTAATTATCAAGTAGTTATTCAGACAGAACTTGCTCTTCATACCGTTGCTGAAAACTACAACCCGAAATATTCGCACATAACTGTTATGTTAATAAAATCAGTTTTTTTCTTACTTACTTAAAAATGAACAGTGAAAATCAAACATGATTCTGAGCATTTCAAAAGGTTGAAAGGTGTCCTTAACCTTTTTACAAGCAATGTATGATACAAACCCAAATATTTTGTCATTTGTGGTCTCTCAGGTGGTGTTACACGGATGACGGTCTCTCTGGTGGTCATTGTGTTTGAGCTAACGGGAGGACTGGAGTACATTGTGCCTCTGATGGCAGCAGTGATGACCAGCAAGTGGGTGGGAGACGCGTTTGGTCGTGAGGGAATCTATGAGGCACACATCCGGCTGAACGGATACCCCTTCCTAGACGCCAAAGAAGAATTCACACACACCACACTGGCACGGGAGGTGATGCGTCCACGACGGAATGACCCACCCTTAGCAGTGCTGACGCAGGATGACCTGACACTGGCCGAACTGCAGGCCATCATCAGTGAGACCAGCTACAACGGCTTCCCTGTCATTGTTTCAAAGGAGTCCCAAAGACTGGTGGGCTTCGCCCTCCGCAGGGACATCACTATTGCAATAGGTAAGGACATATAAAGTATAAGGTAGAGTGTAAAGTATAGTACAAGTCAAGCAATTAATACACATGAATTTGTACACTTGATTTATTTGTTGCACATTACTATTGTTAATTGCAATCTATTTTTAAGTTCCAGGGGTTGTTCACTTGCCACCTTTAGATCAATGTATCAACACATCAGTGCGTTTATAAACCCCTAAACCCAAACTTCATAGGTTTGAATTGGCAGACATTTTACAACCTAGCAGCACCCTCTTCTGAAAACAGATTATTGAGGTGAAGATGGAAAACATTTTGGCAGAATTCTTTCTTAATGTCTCCATCTGGTGGTTTCAAGCAGAAATACCATCTACAGTTTGTACATTGTTCCTGATGTCTTCTCTTAATTATTTTAAATAAAATTGCTCAAGTTTTTCTTGATTCTGTTTCAGATATCATGCACTGTAGATAGAATCTACACTAGTAATTCAAATAAACTATTAGTAATTAATCATAAACACATCATTCACATTTCAGCCTCATTAGTAATGATTCAACATACCTGCCCTGTTTAAGGCTGCATGATCAGTCTTTCTTATTTGGCAAATACATAACATTATTAATTTTGTACAATTTCATAAATGTGGATCTACAGCCATGTGCAACAGGACTTCGTTAAACTTTCTTAAACTAACCGGTACTACATCGAACTGGATTAGCATCCAGAAATCTAACATTTATTTATAGAATGTTACAAATTCTGTAAAATGAATAAAATCATTATAAGAAGGGGAAGAGACTAGTTAAAGTATGAATGGAATAGCTTGCAACACTCAATGTGACATGTTATGATCTTTAAAAGAAAAAGCCAATATCCTTGTTGGTAAAGGCGTATGCTAGAAAAGACCTCTTTTGTGGAGATTTCATTCATTATTATTTGAGCCAAACACTTCAAATTTATTTATACAATTATAATCAGATTTTATCATTGATTTCAAATGTGTTCAGGCATCAACCTGGCTGTCAGTTTGTAGGTCTTTCCCCATTTAAGTAGACAGGAACCTGGTCTTATGCGACTTGAAATAACTGCCCATGGGTATTGCAGATTTACCACTGAGATGACAGACTTTAGTAAAATGCAGATATTTTAGCATTGTAGCCCAGCGTTACATAAAAACGGTGTCTTTAGTCTTATACACAAAAGGCCGGTGTGGCTGCAGGTTTTCATTCCAACAGAGCAGAAGCTCACCTGGTCAGTTATTTGAAGACTGAGACAAACTGATTAAACAAGTGAAATCAGATGTGCTCCTGTTTGCCAGTGTGGAAGCAGGTTAACATTGGATAGCCCTGAGCCAACATTCTGCTTTCCAAAATACAATATAAGCGTCATCAAATATCTGTTTAAAATATCAGTCAGATTTCAACATCTGTCTGATTGCTGAAGAATACACACACGTCTAACCTTACGCTAAATCGTAATACCTGTTTCAAAGAGTGATGTAGCTGCTTCCACTATACAATACTTCCCCCTCCTTTACTGACCTCACAGTGAATCTCTTTAGGATTCTCTCTTCTCTCTGTTTTATATTAAGATGCAGGCTTGTGGAGTATAGCTGCTCTAGAGCTGCTCGAGGGCTGGCCCAAGGCAGAAGACATAACAGAGGTTCTCACTCTCTCTTGCTCTCGCTTGCTCTCTTTCCCCTGCAGAGAACGCCCGGCGGAAGCAGGAAGGCATCATGCTGAACTCCCGTGTGTATTTTACCCAGCATGCTCCGACCCTGCCAGCGGACAGCCCGCGCCCCCTGAAGCTCCGCAGCATCCTGGACATGAGCCCCTTCACCGTCACTGACCACACGCCCATGGAGATCGTAGTGGACATCTTCCGCAAGCTTGGCCTGCGCCAGTGCCTCGTCACCCACAACGGGTGAGCCAAAGCGTGGGGCAGGCTCTGGGGGTTTGGGTGGGCTAACGCAAACGAGTCCGACAGCTTGGTTGGTAAATTAATTGAAATTAATTTGCGACTGAAGATGGATTTACCTGCTATGTGGCTGTTAGTTGGATTCTAACATTTCTTTTTTTAATGAGGAGTTCAACAATCTGCCTCTGTGGTTCTGTATCCCTCTAGATAGTTCTTTCTGTTCACCGACCATGGATGGAGAATAGGTCTGGGCGATAGAGTAACAGGAATTATCGAATTAAAAATGTTATATATTAAATCTTTAATCTGCATTTGAGGAATTTCCAGTAATATGTTTATGCTGTTCCTCAGACCTGTATCATAACAGTGACAGTAACACAAAAATATCTTGCTCTTCATGATTGATTTGTCTCTGAATACTAAATAAGATAAGAAGATAGCCAAGAAAAACAGTTCAAATGTAACCAGAGACAAATGAACACCACAAACAATAAATGTTGAGGATAATGAGAGGAGAAAGCTGGAATGTTCCAAGGAGATTCATGAGGAGATTCTGTGACAAACCTACAGAATAGTGACGAATTTTCAGCTACAGCACAGTAAGATCTAAAAATTTGTTCTGTCTCAATGTACAAAAATAATGGATAATTCTGTGAGTCATCACCCAATGTTCACCTAAAAGAGCAGACTCATTTGTGGATAACACGTCACTACACCGCAGCCCAACCCAGCAGAACAGTAAGGAGAGTTAAATTGCTGTCTGTTTTCAGGGCTCAGTTTACAGAGAGTGAAAATGCCTTGAGTTTAAGGAAAAAGTTTCACAACAAGGAGACTGTGGCAACAGAAAGTCTACATTTCACTTAGTTTCCTTAAATTATTTTAATACCCTTTTATTTGTTCAGGATTTAAAACAATATGCAGGCTTAAACTTGAGCATTAGGAAATGCAGTTAATAATTAGCAATCATTATCTATGTCAAATGATATAGACAAACATTTTTTTGGCCATATCGCCCAGCCCTAGAAGAAAGTGTGGCAGGTTTTCTCTTCCTCCTCGCCATTTTAAGCTTTTCTCTCAGTAGCAACAGCTAACACTGAGGCAGAGTTCTTAATGTGGCCTAAATTGTATGTGGGAATCCAAACTACAAACATGTTTTGTTCTTTCTGGATGACCATTATAATTATTCAGCATTCATTTAGAGAAATGTGCACTCTACTCCAACCTTGAAATCAGTCCTGGAATCAGTAATTGGGCTGTTTTGATTATTCACATTGCTTTTCACCAACCAAGCTTTTCCAAACTGTTTGAGTTTGGGTTAAGGACGCTTTGGTGCATTGAGTCAGTGTTTGCATGGTGCAAGTGAAACTGCCAAACACACCACAGGTTAATATTAATACTTCTAGAAAGAGAGAAGTAGCTCTTTCTACCTTGTGTACTTCCCCTTTTCATAGCTACTAACAGACGAGCCACCCATCAGCAGACAGACATCGCATCGCACATTCTTTCACACATACACACACACACACATACTGACTGCTGACAAGTTCACCTCCGCGTTAGCTGTCAAACCTAGTGCCTCTCGGCTGCTTTGGCTTTTACAACGGCTGCACCACCACCGCACACACACACGCACACACAAAGAAGTTTACACAGAAACTCCCCTCTTGTGTCACTAATTCAGTGATGTGACCTCCTCCGTCCCCTAAAATAACTGTTTTTAAGGACTCCGAAACAACTGTTGAGTGATAAAGGCAGGCTTCATTTTACCCCGACATGTAAACATAGAGATTTCAAAGTCAGATAGTGGTAGCAGGCTAGCTTTGTTTAAAGGAGAGGTACATTGTTAAGAACTAGATTGTTTCAGTTAATGTAATTAAGTCAATTAACGTCAGTATAGCCAAGAACGAATTAAAGCAGATAGCCACCAGTTAACATTATGTAAATGATGTTATGCCTTGAATCAGATCAGCTGCCCTATGATAGAGGTCTGCACAGGCATGAAATTGAAGCCCGCAGATGAGACCTGACCTAACCTGGTCCGACTGATACTGCTAAATTTGAAACCCGAACCCAACCCAAACCCAACCCGAACCCAACCCGAACCTGCTTGCATGCCTTAACAGAGATGGATTATCACAGATGCGTTTTACATTGCTTTTTGTTTGTTACTAAGCAGTTCAACAGAAAATGAAGTAAAAAAGGAACATGCTTATCTGAAAGCTGAGCTTCTGCTGAAGCTGACACTGACTTAACAGGTGTGAGGAAGTACTCTGACATTTGCTGCAGAACAGCTTCATCCCCTGTAAATGTGCTGCTGAAGAGGCAATGTGCCAGTCGTCCTGCTTTCATAACACAAAATCTTATCGCAAGCTCTACATTGTACGTGACCGCCGTGTCTTCTGTCTGATCTGACGTCCAGATCATAATGTTTCCGCAATGAAGACATCCCTGACTCGTTTGGGGTTTTAAGAAGTTCCTCTTCAGCTTTCTTCTTATTTTATCCTTGGTGAACAGTTAATAAGCCGGCATACTAGACAGAGAGAGAGAGAGACAGAGAGTGTGAGAGACAGAGAGAGAGAGAGAGACAGAGAGAGAGAGAGAGACAGAGAGAGAGAGAGAGAGAGACAGAGAGAGAGAGAGAGAGACAGACAGAGAGAGAGACAGACAGAGAGTGTGAGAGACAGAGACCTCTATCGTACGCCATAGAGAACCACCTTCTATCTACGCTCTATAATGCAGACTGGATTGGAAAAGCCTGGGCCCATTTTCAAGACTTCATCAGATCACTTTACCAGCTATAGAAAAGAGAAAATACACTTACGCATTTGAGAAAAGAGGCTTCAATTTCCATCAATTCGTAAAGTTCGCAAGAGCAAACTAGAAGAGCAGTTTTATATTTAGCATATTTTCATTTAATTTGTCATAACGTAATTTTCCTTTCAGAAACATACTTTTTGTTGAGTAATTTAATTTAATTCTAATACCTTTTTGATTTACAAATATTTATATTTGTTTAATTCTCTTAAGTTGTTTGATGATTTGCTCTGTTTGGTGTTGTTTATTTCTATTGGTTGTTGTGTTGTGTTTTAAGTTTGTCTATGTGTGAGTTTTGTTGTTGTGTGTTGCTAAGTGACGGTGGCCACGGTGTGTGTTGCAGGATTGTATTGGGCATCATCACTAAGAAGAATATTTTAGAGCATCTGGAGGAGCTCAAGCAGCACACGGAGCCCCTGGTGATTAGTCCCACCCATGCCACGCCCACTCTATCTTTTAGGCCCCACCTCTTAGGAGGGACGCATGAAACTTGAGTGAAATAAAGAGTCAAATTTGTGGGCAGTTCCCCGGAAAATAACTTTTCTTTTGGCTGCTTTTCCAGAAAGTGATGTTGGTTTGGGAGAATGATGTTATTAACAAGTATAATACAAACACAAAATCACAAAATCACTAGTTTTATGCAGATCAGATGTCCTTTACAAGAAACATGAAGAAACAATTTTGATAATTCGGACAAATTGTTGGGGAACTGTCAAATAAATCTGTTTTATCCATTAAGTGTCCATTTAGGTTGTAAACAGTTGCTTATAGTTATAGTATCCCTTTAACGTAGAATAGAAACTAGACCAACCTACTACAGCCCATTATTCTGCTACAGTTCTTGTTACCTTAGTCCTCAGTCTAATACATGCCCCGTTATGCCCACCATCTAAATATGTTCTTTTTGTTTTTGTTTATTTTTAAATTCGTCCACTGGGGCTGGGGCTGCGTCTACTGGGCCACAGATCGATGACCTCTGACCCCACTCATAGCACCGCCTCCTAAAAGATTGGCGAGTAACAGCCGTGTGTAGCCGATCGTTCCTTTCTATCTATTCATTTACTCTTTATTTATTTACCTTTATTTACCCTATATTTATCCTGTTTAGCTCCCTTAGTAGCTGTGATAGTGAGGTGTTGTGTGATCTTACCATGGTGAATCGTCGTGGCTGTATAGAGTAGTTACCATAGCAACACCCATCCCCAAACCAACACCCGTCCCCACCCCCCTCACTCGGTACACCCCGCTATCCCCTTCTGACTGTGTCTGTGCTGATTCACCGATGACGTTTCACAAGCGTTTCATGCCTCCTGCTCTGTGTGTACTAACCCCTCCACGTCCCGTCCAGTCTCGTACACGGCCAGCTCTCTTTTTTTCCCCCCTGTCTGCTTTCCAAGCTGACGCCCGGTTTGAAGCGCAGTGCACTGCATCAAAAGAAAAGGCGGATAGTTTGCACATTGCTATTAGCCTGGAGCCTTAAACTTGCACTGTAGGCCCCATTTACTGAAGCTAATTAGCACATGCAGTTTATTTTTGCCTCCTGCAAAACCAGTAACTGAGCCAGTAATTGGGCGATGGCTTTGTCCCTGTCTAGTCACTGGTCATGTTCCTGGAGTTGCATGTGCTAACCATTTTAATAGGTGCTTAGTAAATGTGGCCCAATCTGTCTAAACCGGGAGCCATACTGGATTCAGACTGTTCAGTCTTAGACATGGTTTTGTTACTCACAGCGCTTTACTGCACACTCTGTTCCCTGTTACACCTTCACACGGACGACTGTGGAACTCAAGCCTTTTTCCATGATGAAATTCAAGAGCACATTTTATTTCACTAGTAGTGTTTGGCAGTATAGAGAATCAGAATGGCAATCAAAGATCTGTTACCCCAAATTTAAAGTTTTGTATGCATTATGCTGCATAACGGACCAAGCTTCATATGTGCTTTTGAATTCTCTCGACAGTGCTGACTGGTTTTGTGTGTGTGTACATTAGTTTCTTCAGGCTGAAAATCATGGATGAGTCGGCGGTGTGTTCACTGTGCACTCTCTCCCTTGTGTTCTTGATTCGTCCTCACTGGCTCACTCTAGGTGCTGCAGGCAACTGGTCATCACTCCTTAACGTCTCCCTCCCAGTCTGTCTGTCTGCCTGTCTGTCTATCTGTCTGTCGGTTTGTCTGTTTTCACAAAGCAGATGCTGGTATCTTTTTGTTGGCAGAATTTCAGAAGGAGGAAAAAAGGACATTTCTGGTAGGGGGTGAGCAATATGACACTATAGCTAAACAGATTACATTATCAGTAAATTATGTAACAGTAAGTGTTTAAAAGTGGTGTCCTCAGCCTCACAAGAGGAATAGCTGTCTAAGTTTTTGTTCTGTTGTCTGGAGATCATGAGTTTAAATCCTGATGATGCCAGGGATTCAAGAGATAACTGACCCTGCTGAATTGAATGTAGTGTAGTGCAGTATTTGAAATGTTGAGATAAAAATACACTGCACACATTGGCCCTTATTTATCAAAGGTGCGTACAACCAAATCTAATAGTAAAATGAGTGCATGCTAATTTCAGTTTTGCTATTTATCTTTTCATCTTTGGCATGTTTGTATCAAAGTCTGGTAAGAAAATTGATAATTTGAGCTTAATAGTTTAATGAACTGAAGAAATCAGTTTGCAGTTAACTAACCAAAACTATCATCTATATTACCAATAATAAAAACAATACAAAACACAGCTAGTGCAGTAGCATACACTTAAGTAATACAGCTTTTATATGTTATTTTTGAAAAAAATAACACACTACACAATCACATCATTCTGTTGTCTTAAAAGTCTTAATTATTATTATTTTAATATCTTTCTACTTATCATTTTAACAATATAAAGTTTGAGTCACTGCTAGACCACAGACTCTGCTTACAAGCACAGCCATTGGCTCATGAGCCGCTGAATGCTGTCGTTTTATCGGCTCACTACTGAATCATCTGCTTGAATTAGGTCATTCTTCATGTAAATGATAAGTAAATGAGGTGCTGGTAGGCACTTGATTTCACACACTGAAGCTGAATTTATAATTTGTGCTCAAATCTGTGCTTGTTTCCACATCGAATCAGACACAGAGTAGTTTGTACATCATTAAAGGCAGTAAAATCTGTGCTCTTTTCACACAATTTTGATTAATCATTTGATGGGCCATTTTGTTTCAATTTATTATTAAAGGGCTGTAACATGTCAACAGTTTATTCGATTCAGTATGGTACAGTGGTGTCTCCATTCAAAATATTTTTCATCAGCAAAAATAACGAGTGACTGTAAATGTGCCTCATGTTAATGTACAATATTTGAAACAAAAGCTGTGCTTTTTAGTGCTCTAGTCTCTAATTTGCGAGTTCCAAGCTAACTCAATAGCCACAAGCTAACATGCTAATCATGATAGGATAAAATACGATACGCTGCCATTCAGTTCAATGCATTGTATTGTTAGGTGCTCAGGTATTGTGATATTTTGCAACATTGCTCACTCTTCAATCTAATTTCTAGAAGTGCAGTCTTTTTAGCAGTGGTTTGCTGTTTGACCAACCTGCCAACAAAAGGACCTCATATCTGCTATACTTGTTGCACTTTTGAGGTAAATTTCTTACTCTCTTTCTCTCTATCTCTCTCTCTCCCCTCCTCTCTGTTTGCAGGCGCCTCCTTGGTATTATCACAAAAAAAGATATCCTCCGTCATATGGCCCAGATGGCAAACCAAGACCCCGAGTCCATAATGTTCAACTAGTGCCCTCCTTCACCAGACATGAGGAAGAGGAGGAGAGTGAAGAAGAGGTCAGATTATTGGACCGGACATCACACTGACCTCATGACCCCTTTTTTGTATCCTAACCCCTCCTGCACCCTACACACAGCACTAAACTGGGCAGCAGCTGCCCTGATGGGGAAACCTCTGGAAACCTTTCGTACAGGCTATTGGGAAGGACTTCCATTGAAAAGCCTGGCTGCTGAAAGAAGCTTGGAAATCAGGCAAAGCTCCAGCCCTGCTGCTCTGCCCCACTGATGGACATCCACATGCTAATATGCTAAAGCTAAGCTAATGAACTCACACAAAGGCATGCAACCACCACTGCGCCACACGGCCCAGGCACCTTCACCCAAACCCACCTTGTCTGACCTTCCTGACTGAAAGAGGGCTTGTTATTTGTGGTGAAAGGTCAAGATGAACCGCTCGATGGCGAGGAGGGACCTTCACAAAGAAGCCTCAACCTACTGCTGTGACCCCTGCCACTCTAACTGCCCTGCCACTACCCCACTGAACTCAACAACCATTGTTTACCTGTAACACCTGTGTGAGCTTGAATGGGAGAGCATGTCTGGGTGAGGAAGTGTATGTTTTGCATGTGTTTGTATGAGAACGAGCGAAAGAAAAGGAGATCCACCACATTCCAATCAGAGTGTGCTCTGTTTCATACTGGAATGCTGCTTTTTTCCCCACATCTGAGAAGATGGAAGCAGAACGATTATGGAAGTGTGCTAGCGTATGGCTGTGCGAGTTCTTGTTTTTCTCATGAACGAGTTGACAAAGAAACAAGCGATCCATCAAGTGTTTAACAGTGTGACATGATCAAATGTACAAAAAAAGTGGGGTATGGCACCACCTTGTGGAAAGCCACCTGAAGTGAATTTATTATTTTTTTGCTTGTTTGTTTGTTTGTTTTTTCAACTTTTGACACTACAAATGCACTCCTGAATTTAACCGTCAGGAGAATAAAAGCATCAGGTCAGCTACAATTTGCTGAGATGTTTAAGTGAATCCATAAAACTGAGAACTTGTAAAGGTGGAATTTGTTGCTTTTTGTTACTGGAAATGGCCAAAAAACACAAAACAACAAAAAAGTTTCTTTTCAAGCTATTATTATTGGTACTACATTTAGATGTATTAACCATGTAATTTACCAAGTAAGTCCTTGTAATTTTAAGAAGAAATGTGACCTGAATAGTGCACTTTTTTAAGGCCCTGCCATTATAAATTTTCATCATTCATCAGTTTTCATCGTTAAATGAGAATCGTCAACCAACATGTGTCAGAGTACTTCATGTTGTTTCTAAATAGATTCGGAAAGTCTTGCATGGACCACGCTCATGCCCAGTTTGTCAAAATGTGATGAATGTGGTTATGCTTATTTTTGAATACAGAGCTTTCTCTGATCAAATTAGAAAAGGATGATTTGCACGAAGCTTGCGTGATAAACACCGATTAAACTTGTTTAATCGTACATGTAGGACCTTTACATTTGGAAAAAAACAGGGGTGTTTGACTGCATCCTAATGCACATTAAGGACTCATCTGGTATATGTGTTCTGTCATTGTTTTGCGGCCAGTACAGTTGTTCTGTGTATTTAATTGAATTACCTCACAGCACAAATTCAGCTTTTTGTTAGGAAACTAATCATAAAACATTTGCTAACACTGGAAGTTTCAAAAAGCTGAAAAAAAAACATATTCAAAGTCTTTTCAAAGCTGATGTGTTCATGACTGGTACAACTGGAAAATTCAAGCAGGTGGGAAGCCTGTGGTGTGGAATTTACGCTTGTATATCTATGTGAAAGAGGCATCACCATCTTCATTTGCAAAATGACATGATCAAACAAGTCAGTATGTTGGTGTCTGTGACGAACCTAAACACAAGCTTCTGCTTACAGTAACTTGCACCCTTCTGCTTTACAGTCACTTGAACTTGACCTGCTTATGGCTGGATTCTCCAGACTTGGTTTTGATGTTTGTGAACCTTGATGTGCTCAGCGGTGTCATAGATATCTCTCTTTATTTTTTAATGTCTCTTTTTATCTTTCTTTTTTCTTCTCTCTGCTGAATTACACCTTTTTAGTATTTTGATAGGCTGTCATTTCTTCCTCCACAAAAAAAAGAAGCTTTCCTTTGTTTCCATAGTGACACGCTCGAGCCTTTTCTGCTGAGAGAGGCTTACAGAGAAGGGAAGGGTCTCAGATCTCAACTGCAGTTAGTTCTTGTCAATAAAGAAAAAAAAAACAATAAAAAACAAAAGTTGTCCTTATGTTCTTCTCCTGTTTTATTTATATTAGTGCTAGACTTGTACATTACTGTAAGAAGGGTTGATTGTACATTTGAAACAAATATGTAAAATTAAATTGTTTAAAATTAAGTGTACAACGTTTTCATTGTTTCATTTATTTACTGATGTATTTTTTGTAAATATTAACCTACATTTTTTTGCAGTTTGATGAGTTGACTTTTACATTCCAAAATGCCAAGCATGTAATGTTAGTTAGGCTGGCTTTACACGGTGCAACCTTAATGCAACTTCAGTTTCTTGAAACCTATGTGATGCTAAATTGCACTTGAGTTGCATCACAAAGCATCCTGCAACTAACCTGAAACTCAGCCACCGCTGTTGCAAGTGTCTTAACATTGTAAAACAAGGTTCATGAAACTGCCAATCAAAACCCCAGTAATGTATCATGTCATCACATCAAACAACATACTTTCAAACCACTGAATTTCACCAGGTTAATCGACAAGAAGAAGAAAATAAAACAGACGGTTTATTGGGTTAAAAGGAGCAGCTGGAAAAATATGCGATGATGACAAAACTGCTGCGAATATGTAAATTACACCACACAGACGACTTTACGAAGAGAACCATACGCTGCATCAGAAATTATACAACAGTGAGTTCCGGCCACGCAAGCTGATTGGTTGAGAAGCGTTTTAACCGTGGTGTTATTTCACCATAACCACGTTTTTTTCACAAACAAACACTGTCTCACTCCGCTGAGACGCTGTTGCTAAGCAACGACTTTGACAGCTGTAGGAGACGCTCAAGCCGTTTGAACGTTTTTACTTCTTACTTTGCGCACAAACAAAATGGATACTGCTAAGATCACATTTGACCGACAGTCGATTTGGTCAGACTCTGAAGATGAGACTACACTAAATTCCCAAACTGTCATCACCACTGAGCAGCTGTGGCAGAAGAACAACTAATCAACCTGGAATCAGCCAGAAATGAACCGAATACCATTCACCAAACAAAACGGGCTGTAAGATGCTTTATAGACTGGCTGGAACAAAACAACATTAATACTGATCTAGTAAAAAAACACAACACTGAGCTTAACTTGATATTGCCGCAGTTTTATGGCTCAGTCCGCACTTCAAAAGACGAGGCTTACAGCAGACTGTGCAGCGAGTGGGCGGAGTTCGTTACTTTGACGTAGCAACGAGCTGCTTGTTAAGGAACTATAATTTGGCGGAAGGAATTGTTAACAAACATATTAAATGCCGCGTTCACGGCCCAACTTATTAATTTATTACTTTATTTATTTAAATGTTGTATAAAAGCAATAGAACACTCGAGGTCGCGTTATCGCGAATAACAGCTCGTGCCTGCTCAATCATAGCCGTGATGTTATTTCGCGATAACACACTCCCTCTCGTGTTCTATTGCTTAAATAACTACTGGAGTAACTGAATGTATTCTGTGCAACTTCTGTGTTTTTAAATCGCTTCATGTAACTGTTAAGCACAGAAATTATGTTGCATGCAACCAGCTGCATGAAAGTTTCAAGCCAGCCTAATTAGGGCTTCTAAAACTTTAGGCATGTTCAATTATGAGAAAATCTTTTGGAACACTGACATTTTATGCCACTTATGACAAAATAATACAGGTGGTTGTGATGACAAACTATATAGATTTTGGAGCTTGGATCGCATCTGGATATACTTTGGTCTGACTCCATTTACTGCTGGCCTCTTACTTACATTTACATTTTCCCCTCTGTTGTGACACACACTGACAAAAAAATGGGTATGTTTACAACTGGCCTTCATGAACTTGATCCAGTCACTTATAGCTCACACTGATTCAAGGTGTAAACAACCTCTGGTTTCTTTACGCCCAAATTCAGCATCACTGTATCACTTCTAGTCACATCTGGATGCAGGAACAGGAAAGTACCTTCAACGTGTAACCAGTCACTGTAATTATTCTGAACCTTCTCTTCCCATCAATGAGTAAATAGGGTTACCAGCCCTTACAGGTTAACCTTGAGATTTAAAGAATTGGCTGAGACCTCCCAGGACAAAAATACAAATTTAGCACTTTTGTTTTTTGCTCTCATTTTGCAACAGTTTGATTCAAATTAGATTTTTTTCCCCTATAAATGTGTTGCACTATTACAGGCAAATATTGGTCACACCGGATACTAATGTGGAAATTGTGCCTCCTGACCCACACTGTTTTTGGTGGGGTTTCATTAAAATATTTTAAGTGAAAATGATTGCATTTATATTTTTGTTCAGTATACAGATTCAATTGTCTACCCAGGAAATCCCACACATAGTTGACTGGTTTTCATCAGTACTTGCCTGCTCACTGCTCAGAACGCTCTGCTATGCTTCAATGAACCACAAAAAAAAGAAAAAAAAAAAACTAACCTAAGAGCTGAAGAGGAGCACCTCGAAAAAAAAACTTCAATACTTCTATGCATTGGATGAAAAGTGCTACATAATGTCACTCGTGGTGCTTCAAGGCAGAACAAAAGGCTTTCATTAAATGAATGGAAATTTCTGCCAATATGTATAAAGTATGTATGTTACACACATGTGGAGTGCTATTCTGTCACCTGGTGCAGCTGCATGGTCTCTCCACAGTAAAACTGCTCATCTGTCATGACAAGATAAAAAGTACAGGCAGTAACGTTTTCAGAAAGCATCATGAGGTTCTAAATCTATTAGGCTTCTTTACATGACTCACTGAACTGGAGTCATACGGATGTGATCTGGTGGGGTTTTAGACCAGATGCTATGTGAACATTTGAACGCTTCTGAAATAAGAGGTAAATTACTGAAGTCCTGGCATACATTCCACACCCACCACAGATATACCTTGTAATGCTTTAACATCTCAACAACTTCATGCTCCAAATGGGCTCACTGAACATTTGTGCAAGAACACACACACAGCAATTAAAAATCAGACAAAGATTATAAAGAACATGAATTTAAATTTATTTGCATAAGGAAATGAGAATGGTCCATTCTGAAACAATGAATTGTTTTTCATTCACACTGTTACTCATTAATTGCTACTTTGCTTCTGCAATAAAAAAACTGCAATATGATGATTTTAATTACCAATTTAAAAATTGCTGAACTATACATGCACTGATGCTGCATGTATGAACTAGACCTACACTAAGATATTTTATTTTACTGTAATAATAGTTGTGGTCGAATACAGCATTTCATAAAACTATAGTTCATGCAGTTGTAACAGGCTACTGTATGTAAATAATCAATTATAATCAATTAATATTAACGAACATTTTTTCCTACCTATCAAATTAACTGAAGACGTTCCATAACCATGTGGCAGATAAACATTCTATACTGAATTTCCAGTTTATTAGGTATACTTACCTTGTACCTAGACTCCTTGGCCATTTTATCAGAAACACTTACCATACAGGTGCACTTTGTAAGTTTACAGTTACTGAAGGCATCCCATGTTTCTGCACAATTTATCAGCCCCATCCATCAATAGAAAGAGACCACTATAGGACCACTGGTAACCAGGTATTATATGGGTGGTGGACCATTCTCACCACAGCACTGACACTGACATTAGTGTGTGTTCTGCTGGTACAAGTGTTTCAAGATTTTTTAAAACAGTGTGTACACTTACTGGCCACTTTATTAGAAACACCTACTTTGTTGGTCCACATTTAAGTCTACAGTTAGGGCATTTTTTCCTGCACAAACAAGAACTGACCCAAACAGGAACCAACAGAACAGTCCAGATATCTGGACAACAGTCATAACCATTTTAAACAACCTAATTTTGCTAACTAGATATAAATATATAAGCAAAGCTTATAATTTTATATGACGTGTAAAAAATATTAACAAAAACCACTACAGTTCTGTGGCAACTATCATAAATACTAATGTTAGTGTTAGCTTCTTAACTAGCTTATGTCACCATAGCGAACTCTTTACAAAGTAATCATGCTAATAATGAACACAACATACTATTCTAGTTTACTTCTGTGTTCTGATGAGCCATGTAATAGTGATTGGTTGACTTTATCTTCACCTGGAGGAGTGCAGACTTCACTAAATTGTTAGCTAAAGCTGTAAGCGATACCAAAGACAGAGGAGAACACTTAGGTACAGTTAGGTCCTGTTGGTACCAATCTTGAGCAGGTACCAAAAACCATAAAACTGGAAACTTTTGGAACTGGACCGATGGCCAATTCCAGTTTACTGTGCCAAAGGTTCCAGTACTTTGTACAGTGCAGTTTCTGTCCACAGGACCACTGCAATCTGTATATTTGTCATTCGTCTATTTTCAATCTAGCAGAGGCAAGTGTTAAAAGACATTAAAAGATATCAGCAGCAACGGTTATTCTCATACCAATGCAACACCCTAAAACATCCCACTACCACGTCAATGTCATGGCTGTGTTGAGAATGACACACCACCCAAATAATATCTTTTCAACAGTGGTCCTATGCTGGTCCTTTTCCACTGAGGACAGGGTAAAGTGGGGGCTGATATATTGTGCAGCCATATATGGGCTACAGTCAGTAACTGTAAACCTACAAAGTGCAAGTATATGGAAAGTCTTTCAGATAAAAGTACCACTGAGCGCAGACACAAGCTAAGTATAGGTTTCAAGTGGATAAAGGACGTCTGCAAATCATTCAGACACATTTCTGAGAGCTTATGTCTGGGAGCTCTTTTGCATGATGAGTTTTTTGATGCAATTTCAAACTGTAGCTACGAGCATAGCTTTTTCCACACGTTTCACAGCGGTGGTTGCGCTCTCGTGTGTGTGTTTTAGCGTGTCTGGAAAGCTCAGACTTATCGATGAAGCACCTCTTGCACTCAGTGCAAGCAAAGGGCTTCTCTCCGGAGTGGATTCTCTTGTGCCGGTTCAGTAAGGCCGTGTCGGCAAAACATTTACCACATATCTCACAAGCTTTGGGTTTAATCCCGCTGTGCCAGCGCTGATGCTTCACGAAATGAGAGGCATCACTGAATCGTCTCCCGCAAAGAGTGCAATGGAAGGGTTTCTCTCCAGTGTGGATCCGCCGGTGTGTGGCCATGTTACCTGCGTGAGAAAATCGTTTCCCGCACTCTGGACACTCAAAAGGACGTTCTCCGGTGTGTGTTCTTTGGTGTTCACGAAGGAACGCTTCCTTCTTGAAGCCCTTTCCACACGTCTCGCATTCAAATGGCCTTTCGGTGGAGTGGGTCTTGACATGAGCCTTCAGTTTCTTCTCATCGGCTAAGCTTTTGCCACACTCTGGACAAGTGAAAGCAAGGTTCTGGGAGGTTTTATTTGGGGCCTGCATATGTCCATGAGAACAATTCTTCCCATGGCCTATGCAGTCACACTGTTTTAAACCAGAATGTGTCTGCTGATGCCACTGAAGTCTCCCTGCTGTTGTGAAACACCTTCCACACTGAGGACACTTGTGTTTTTTCTCCCCTTTATGATAGCGCTGATGGATTTTAAGCTCTACTGAAAGCCTAAAAGATGTATTACAATCTGAGCATTTGAACTTATTCTCGTCTGTGTGGATCTTTTCATGCCTTTTCAGTCTGAGTTGATGGCGGAATTTCAGGCCACACTGTGAGCATTCAAATGTTTTGCCACTGGAAAGGCCTCGCATATGACTTTTCAACAAATGTTGATGGGTAAAATCTTTTCCACACTGAAAACAGTGGTGTAGCTTAATTTGGGAATGCGAACGCTGATGCTTAATTAGACTTTTTGAGGTGGAGAAGCTCCCTCCACACTTTGCGCATGTATGCGATTTTCCTCCAGTATGCACTCGCTTGTGGATTGTCAGGTAAACTGAATGAGTGAAACGTTTTCCACAGTCAGAACAGCTATAAGGTTTTTTACCAGAATGGAAAGCTTTGTGAATCTTCCTTTTTGTTGCGTCCTTAAAAGTTTTCCCACATTTTATACATTTAAAAGGACGGTCAGGGTCATGTGTTTGCATATGGTGAACTGGCCTTTCTTCTTTGGGAACTTCCTTTTCCAGTGAACAACCAACAGGAGCAGGAGCCTCTTCTGTATGAGTCTTCAGATGAAGCTTCAGTTCACCAGACCGTATGAAAGTTTTCTCGCAGTATTTGCACTGAAACGGCTTCTCTCCTGTGTGGATTCGGTTATGAATCTTCAGGTTCCGCATGTTGGCAAAATTCTTCCCGCATATGCTGCAAATAAACGTCTCCACCTTTAAATGCGTCTTGATGTGGCGGGTAAGGTAATACTGTAGAGCGAAACTTTTCCCACACTCCTGGCACGAGTACGGCTTTTCTCCTGTGTGTGTCTGTTCATGGCTTTTCAGGTTGCTGGCCGTGCTGAACGCTTTTCCACACTGAGAGCACTCGAATGGTTTTTCGCCCGTATGTGACCTTTCATGGATTCGAAGATGGCTGGGATCTCTGCAGATCTTACCACAGAACCTGCAGCACTGTATTTTATCACTGATGGACATCAGACGAAGCTCAGCAGGGCTCATTTTTTCATATACTGATCTAGAATTACTAGATTCAGCAGCGACTTCAAGCTCCTTCATCTTTAACATGTATATTTCATGATCATCTTTAAAATCGTGCTCATCCCAAATGATCTCTGTCTTGATAGCAGCAGTTCCATCATCACTCGCAGGTTCTTTTTGTGTTTCAACATCTGAATAATCCAGCCACTCTCTGGCTGTGTTGTGGTCAGTTGCCATGATGTCCAAAATGCTCCTTCAGCACCACAATGTAATATTATTTTGAAAAGGATCGACTGGGCAAGTCCCAGATTATGTCCTTTGTAAGTGTTTAAGACATCTTTACCTCCTCCTGTAAAGTCCCCTGTAGGAGAGAAAATCCCTTTCAGTTAATACCAAAACAACATCATAATCCATCTGGCATTTCACTTTAGACCAAAGTAAGCCTGTGAAATAGCCTGTGGCCAGATCTTATCACTATATTTTTCCATTCCATGCAAGATTGATAATTATCTATACTTATTACACACATTTGCTAATCCCCAATTTTAAGCCTAAACTTAAATCTGGAATTCATCACCAAGATAAAATCTTAAAAAATGTATATGTAAAAAACATAAATAAAAGCGATACTGCAATAGCAACAATATATCAATTTTAATATTCACAGTAATCATGTAGGACAATCAGCCTGGGTCTTAATTGCCTAATCGCTGAATAGTAGAAAACAAATCATTTAACTCTACAAGCTTCTAGCTTTAATAATAAGCATGTGAGTTACTGGAATCTCTAGTGTAACGTTTTCCAGTTATGAGCTGATGAGAGCTTTTATAGGAACACACACGCATGTGTAGCCATTAGGTGCTAATTTCTGTCAAAACAGGGAAAACAGTACAATTTAAACAGAAGATGACAATTTAAAAAGTAGATGATGTAGCACTACTATAAATATTAAAATTCAGACCACTCAGACATTTAAACCTGTTATAAGGAAACAATGTGGCTTAAGGTGATAAAACCACAACCTACAGACACAAAATTACCATTCTCATCTTACTTGCTGTAAACACTGTCTATAGCCCTAATGCAAAGAATTTTTAATCCTTTATAAAAAGATTTATAATACTACATAAATTACTACCGGATTTCTATAAGAATCTTAAATTCAGACATTCACTATAGTTTACTACAAAAAAATGACCAGTATTACAGATTATTAATGACAGTATTATATGGATATTATAGAAAGTAAAAATACAGATTATTATATAGGTTTTACAACATTAGAGAAATATTACACTTTCTTCTGTTATGTTTAACATAAAGCTTCATTTAAATAATAGGCTCTTTCCTCTGGCAGCAGACAGAGTCTGTTACCAGTAATTTGTGTTACCTGGTCGTTGTTCAATCACATTAAGCCACGTTACGTTTTTTTAATTCATCTTTTTGGCAGTAGACTGTCTATGATCAGTAATATAATGAGAGAAATTTGGTGTCACAAGGTTGTTCTTTATCGCATGTTAAGCTGTTCCCTTACGATTAGTTTCAATGGAGAGGAAAAAAGTGTAAATGGTTGCTTTGTGCTTGGATTACAGTCGTGTTCTTCTGGCATGAGTCAGAGTTTATGGTCGGTAAAATGTGACGGATGGTTTTTCTAGGTCGTTAAGAACATTAAGCTTTTTTTCACATTACTCTTAAGAACAAGATCTAGTGTGATACTACAGAAATTTCTACAGGATTCAAATCACAACTGTACTGTAAATGAAGCTGTTTTTGAAAAATAGTTGTAAACATGCTCTATATTTAAAATCTTTGCCCACACATAGCCACCATGCTCACCTACAGACACAAAATTTCCCTTCACATCTTACTGGCTGTAAACACCGTTTATATATTATATATAAAACAGTATGGCTGTAAATTGTGTTTACAGCCAGTAAGATGTGAAGGGAGATTTTGTGCCTGTAGGCTGTGGTATATATAATATAGAATTATAGTATTACTGTACAGATGTTTTTATAAGCGCACCCTTTTCTGGAAAATGCTTTACGTAAAACCTCACTGGTTATTTTTAGTTTACCGGCTCATCTTTTTAGCGGTAGACAGAGATGATGTGATGTCTCTAAGTGGTTGTTTGTCATATTTAGTCATCAAGCTTTTTCCTGATAATGAATTTCAATGGGGCTAAAAACATGACGATGGTGGCTCTGTCTTTTGCCCAGTATGTTTCAGTCCAGCAGTCAGTAACATTATCTCACACGACTACAAAACGCGAGGAAAACCTATCATTACTGCCCACAAATAAACAACACGAGGTGTGTTCGGCTTTAAGCAACGTTAGACAGTCAAGTGTTGTTTAGGAATAGTTGCGTATATCTGATGGACCTCTGGCAACCCGGCCATTCTGAACGAATCGCTATATCGTTTACTTTATAAGCTGAATAACGGTACCGAGGCTGAAGTTGGCTTCCTATTCGCCAGGTTCCAGTTCGAATTTTCCCGTAACTGCTGCACCATTTAAGGTGGAACGGAAAAATTCGAATAAGATAACGTTAACGGTTTGAGGTGGCGGACGAGTCAACGCTTACATTTAGGTCGCTTTGTAGCGTTAGAGGGACAATAGTCATCACATGAAGTTGATTAACACGTAAGGTAGCGAAGTGACCTGCTATTTTAGCTTCTTAGCTAAACGCTGTTAACGCACTACCGTCCAGTCGGTGTCATTCCTTCATTCATACAGTCTCCCTCTGTTTTAGCTTACAATGACTACGGGACCTCAGGGATGTGGAGGATGTTATAGAAAGGCACGCTCAAAAACGTGTCAATAAATAATATGAATACCTTTTTTTCCGACCACCTTCTCCGGGACGACCCCCAGCATGAAAATCCACTGGTTTAAAGGTAAGGAAAGTCGTCAGATCGCCCCCTGCTGTTCAAAAGGTAGATCGACAATGAGTTTTGAGATGATTCGCATCGCAGGTTAAATGACATTCAGCGACGCCATCACTCATATTCAGTCATACTGACATCTGATGAGTATCCAAAACGAGGGACTAACAACAAAAAGCAAAACATAAACAGAGCTTTTAATAATGTTTTTCCTAAACGGACTACAAAGTCCGTCGCGCCAATGGCGGTACAACCATAAGATCCTACAGAGCGGCGCCGGCACCAGACAATGGGATTTGTAGTTCGATTGTATTTTAATCTTTACAATTCTGTGGTTCAGCAAAATATTCTGCTACTATGCTGTATTAGTAGCTAGTATGTTTGATTTATTGATTTATTTAATCAGTTTAATTATAATAATAAAAAAAAACTATACAGTAAAATGAATGGTGATACATTTTCAGGAGTAGGAAAACAAATCTATCAAGTAATAACATTTCCAATGTCATGTTTTACTAAGATTAACATTTTTACATGTGCTTATTGAATTTCTGACGTCAAACGGGCTTTCTAAACCAGTTTGTGGATTTAGGTTGCATAACGTTGAATGATGTCATATTCCCTAAACAATTATGCATTAAAATTGAATATATTCGAACATTCATCAAGCGAACAAAATGTGAATTTCCAGTGTAATTTCTGAGCCCAGTAGCCCAGCAGGCAGCCCTTTTCACTGTGTACCACCCTCGCCTTTCACACTCACCGCCCGAGCAGCAGCACTCACTGCAGGAGCGCCATTCACCAACACTGACCTTGTGAACTGGTGGATGCGAATAAAATCTAAATGCAGCACCAAACTGATCCAGTTCTGTTTTATTGTGGCGTTAACCTTATGATAATAATGTGATATTTCTTCCGGAGGGTGCTTTTATTTACTGTCAAATTAAAAGTCCTAATCGCAGCAAATCGTCTGTAGTAAATGGAAGGAATCTGCCCCCCTTAAAAACAACGGGCCTCATTCACCACCTGTTCTTAAGAGGAATTTTCTTCTTAAAACCCACTTACGCAGTTCATCTACAGAGAACACAGTCGTGCACATTTTAACATACGATTACTGTTTATTTCCTGAATTTGACATATTGGGGAGAGAAAAATTAAATGTGGCCTGTGCAAAAGTGCTAAACAGATAAATATTAAATAATTAATAATAAGATAAATAATTAGCGACTGTGCACTAAAATGTGCAGAAAATGTCATATTTAAGTTTGTTTCCTGTAGAATATGCATTCTCTCATAAATGCATTCTCTCATAAATCAATAAATTATGTCATTTTTCCAGAGGTGCCCAAACTTTGCATACAACTGTATTTCTTTTCCTATATGATATATTTCCTATATATCAGGGAAATGGTCCCTTATCTCGGGTAAGAAGCTCTTAGAAGATCTTACATTATTTGTTATGCGAATGTAGAAATGATTTGACATTATTTATATCACTCATATGGTTCTTAAGAACAGCAATAAATATCCCATTCTAAATTAAAATTAAAGTCTTGATCATTTTACACCTTAATAATTATTCTTAATTACAATAAGCTTTAAAAAAAACACAGTAACACAAACACCTACTCTGTAAAATACAAAATGTTTTGTCATACAATACACTACTACTACCACTACTAGTAATAATAATAATAAACAAAATTCAACATTTAAATAATAAGTACAACTGCTTTAAAAATGCAAATGATTAACATGCACAACAAATTAGATGTGGATTTAAGTGTACTTAGTTGCAAATCCATCTCCAGAATTATTCCAATGTTAAAGGCTACTCTAGTACGTTACCCAGACAGTGAAACTCCAGTGGGAAAAAGAAAGAAAAAAAACTTATCATAAAAGTCTTTATGATAAAAACTACTTTATTCATTTTACTGGACCAAAATTCAATAAATAAATTCACAGAAATTTTAATTATTAGAGCGTAACCATTAAGTAAGAGTGCTGAGATCATATTTGGTCTCATCATTTGATCAGGAGAGAATATAAGAGAGTGGAGCATCTTACCCTAAAAGGAGTTCTCCTGCTGAAGCAGAGGAAGACAGCTGAGAGAGAAAAGACTAAATGATTCTGCAGCATGTGAAGCCCCACAAATACACATACACAGTCAAGGCCATGGAGCGGCTACATTCAGCTCTATTAAATCCTGAGGCAGTACAGCACTAATAGATGCTCAAAGCCAGTTTGGTAAAACCATAAAAGCATGTGATGCATCTACTTGCCTGTTTTATAGTACACTATGGATACTACAATGTATGTACCAGAATTCATCAGTCCATCAGGCTATATTGTTCTTTGCACAGTGTGTGTCTGTGGTGAGTGTGTGCTCTTTTTTAGCATCAACCACAGAACCTCTCACTGCTCTTTACCAATCTAATCTTGCTGCAGAATTAACTCTGAAGAGGAACAGAAGTGTGGTATTTCGGTGGAAAACAGCTTCAAGGAGCACTCAGAAGATCACTGGGTAAAGGTCACTTTTTGCCTTTAGAAATGGATACAGCCTATTTGAGGGTAAAGCAGACACCAAGCTTACACATTCATGATTCTGTTAAAACAAGTCTTTCCAATGTAATCTGCAATCAGTAATGGTGGGTGACACAGCAAAAATATCATGGTAACATTTGAAGGCCTTCTGTACTCTCATATTTGAGAGGTTGAGCAACCCCAGTCAAATTATACATTACATTCTGTTGATTTTTATGTGAATATACACTCAGAAATAAAGGTATGAATCTGTCACTGGGGTGGGACCCTCAAGGGTACTTCTCTGTACCTTTACTCAGGGAATATAATTGTACCATAATCCATTGACGTTATATTTTCTAAGTTCTGATTCCACACACCCCGTCTCGTCTCCTGCCTTTTTATTTTATTGTTCTGTTTTAAAACATTGGGTCATAAAAAGGTACAAATATTATTTTCACCAGGAAAAAATGATTTAAGGTACTCAGTTTCGAACTTGAAACCACTGTTGTACCTTTGAGGGTACATTTACATTGTTTGTACCATAAAGAATGAAAAATGTACCTGCACAGTACCTTATTTCTAACAGTGTAAGTGAACACACACTTTATAGGGAACACATTTTTTATAGCAATTATGCACTAACATTTGCATATTTATTTTCATTACTTTTGTACAGGCCACATTTTATGTATTTTTTTGTTTGTTTTTCAACGTTACCTTGAGTGCAAAAACAGTAATAATGAATTAAAATGTGCAGAAGTGTGTTCTCTGTAGAGGGTGTGTTAACTTATTTTCACTAAAAAAAACAACAAAACGTCTTAGTTTACCAGGGGCACCAAAACTTTTGCATACAACTGTATATTACAATATTTCATTTTTTCTGAGGTTCGGACTAAATGCACCTGCAAAACAGCAAAACCACACTTAAAAAAAGCTAAAAAAGCTATGAGTGCAGCTTTTAAACCAAAGTACTTTTGTGTTGAGAAGGAACAAACCACTCATGCAAATAAGTGAATAAAATAAAGATGATGTCATAATGGACTGACATCCAATCAGCTGCATTTCACTATGCAGTTACTACACTGTTTACAAGCTCTTTATAACTGATTTAATATCTGTCTTTATGATACATGCAGTGCTTTAGCATTCTGGAAAGACTCATAAAAGCATGTTGTGATGTAATTCATCATGTAACAATACACTGTCATGTTTCCCACTACTATCCAGGTTGCACTGTCTGGAATAACCAGTTACTTTAAAGAAAAAAAAAACTTATCTGATCCAACAGGTATTGTTCTTACTGTTAGCCCCAAACAGACACTTCAGTACAAATCAAAACTCTGACACCATGCTTACACAGCAGACAGGTTTTTATTTCACTACAAAAAAGCTGTTTGAAGAGCACCGAATTAGGAGAGGAGTCCAAAATGCCCTTCCCTCCCTCTTTAATTCCAACAGTTAAGCACAAATTCCTTGTGGCCATGTTTTTGTAATTACAGCTCATCACCATTCTTTTCACATGCAATAAGCTACAGCTCTCTTTTTTTCTGGAATGAGGGTTAGGAGGGCCTTAGGCTGCTTAGAAAGTGAAACAAATTTAAGGATTTAAGGCTGAAAAGTTCAAGCATATTTCCAAACAACTTAGGAAACTCCATAAATCTCACTTCTTCTTTACATAAAAGGAATAAATAATGGATAGCCATCTAAATTATAACAATTAGAAACCCTAAAAATTAAAATATAGGGACCAATCCAATGAAAAAAAAGCCACAGATACCAGGCTGTACATTTGAAATAAACGGAAAATAACACTAACACATCCAATACTACTCAAAATAAAACCACTAATGAGGATAATAATCATTATATTATAAGGACTCCAGTGGTCATTTAATAATAAACCTTTCATCCTCTCAAACTGAGAGTTGCAGAATATTTCAAACTCCTGTCAAACTGATGATTATAAAACACTCACTGACAATAGCTCACCTAGGAAAATGTTTCTGTCCCTCTTAAAGCCCAACTTCAGAACTCAGTAACATGCATTTGTCATGCATTTAAAGAGGGACCAATCTCTTAACAGATTAAGTCATTAAGCTTAACAATGAGTCTTACACTCACAATCATGATAAATGCACGTCAGCCTCAAATGGTCCTGTATACCTGGAACACTTATGAGTTAAATCATCTTTCAGCAGATATGAAACAGACAATCTACAGCAATATCTAACAGATTATGTAACAGATGATCTAAATCCATATCCAACAGTAGCCCTAGTTTCTAGTAGCCTATACAAGCTTCAGCATCTGACTCTATATCCATCAATAGCCCTAGTTTCAGTTAGCATAAATAGAAAATCAGTGCTTGAGGTGGTTGATTTCCTAAGTTGACCATTTCTCTGAAAATACATTCAACATGAATTGTCATGGAAAAAACTAAAAGATTCTCAGTGTTCTGTCAAGTTGATTAATGATGAAAGCAGGTAATCTAACAGTTTGAGTGTTTTTCCATTCAGAATCAGAGAAAAACAAAAAAAAATGACTTGACCTTTTTTTTATTTGTAAAATGCATAGCAACTTAACCATCCTGTGTTTAGGATATTACACATGGCTTTCATAGATGACTTGGCTAGTCATTGATGCTCCTCCTCCTTTCTCAGGCTCCACCTTCTCTCCCTCTTCTGACTCCACCTCCAGAGGCAGCTGAGCCAGTGGGGGAGGCGAGGAAGGCATTTCAGGCAGGGGCGGAGCCTCCATGCTGCAGCCTGCTTCAGCTAGTGGCGGGTGAACTGAAACCTGAATAGCGATTTGTTGAGGTTGCTCGTGAAGCGAAGCGTCATCAGAATCTGTGGTTGGAGATCCACTTCGCTCCCTTTCTCTCGTTCTTTCCCGCAGGATGGTGAAAACGTTGGCCATCGCCGATCCTCCAGCAGCTCCGCCGCCACGACAGCCGCTTTCGTGACCTTCAGGGGCTTGTCGAACAAAAGTGTGCCTCATCTCCTCAACCCCTACAACTTCAAGGATCTCTTCCATGAACGTACGGCAGTTCATGATCAGTGGTGGTAGAGGAATGCTACGTGCCAGCTCCTCGATGTAACGTGCAAACTCCATGGTCTTGAACTGTGTGACCTTGGCCAACTCCAGCGTCTTCGCAGACGTGATAATTGGAATACGCTTTGCAATCTCGAAGGCCTTCTGGAGCTTCTCTGCACCTTCAGTGCGGAAAAACTCATTTATGGCCTTCTCCGTCTTCTTCAGATGGCTGCTCATCATACACAGACGTGTTATGTTCAGGACCATGATGATCGTGAAAGTCACCAGGCACACGACCATGTAGTACACTCCCATGTCCCCGT